GTCCCCCCTTGGGCCGTCACCAGAAGCTTCTGCCGGCCGTGGGGGCCGTAGCAAGGCCGGACGACGCTGGCCAGGGTCTGGGCCGCAGCCGCGCTGCCCAGCAGGTGCTGCTTTCTCCCGCCTGGGCCCCTCGCGTCCTCGCTGGGGACCGGCGCCAGCCGCTGGGGCAGCTCCAAGGCTGAAGGGACTCTGCCGTCCATGGCCGGTGCAGAGGGACCAGGCGGGCTGCAGAGGCACCCTGGACACCAGGCCTTGAGGCCACTCGGTGGGTTGGTGGTCGTCAACTGGGGTCGGGGAGCCAGGGGAGGTCCTCCAGCTGGACCAAGGTGATCTGCAGAGGGCTGATTCTTAAAGGAACTGCACTCCTGGGGCCTCCGACCCGGTACCCGCAACGAGATCTCCCACTGCTGACGTCACAGAGTGGTGACGCGACCCGGGTGGAGAATGAGGTCACAGGAGGAGGCTCGGAACTGGAGCGCCCCCACCGGCAGGCAGTGGCGTCACACGCCCGGGGACAATGAAAAGGCAGGTGAAAAGAGCCGAGGCGGCTGTGGGGCTGGCTTGGTCTCGTTTCTGAGAGGGCGTGGCGAGCTGAGGTCCGTTTGTTGTTTCGGTTTACCTCCTCTCGCAGCGCCAAGTAACACTAGCCTGTTTGCTCTCTGTCCGCCTGGGCCTTTTTGTCTGTCTTATCGATTTGTGCCTGTTTATCAGGTTCCTTAAGGTATCCGTTCTAGCCTGCTCAGTTTCTAGCGACAGAAAATAGCCGAGCCTAGGTAATTTAGGAGAAGAGAGTTTCTTTCAGCTCGTGGTCTGGAGGCCCAGGGCCACGGGCCACATCTGCTGGGGGCTCGCATGGGCATGGAGCATGTGTCCAGGAATCTGTCCCCTTCCCACTCCCTATAAACCCACCAGGAGTCAATCATGGGGCCCTGCACTGATGACCCGATCTCTTGTAGAGGCCCTACCCTTCAACACCATGAAGGCGTTAAGTTTCCTCGTATACATCACAAAATGACCAAAGTCCAACACTCGAATTCGGGGACATTCCAACCACCCCGGCGTTTGTTGGTCTTCTGGGTGTGGAGGCTGCACAGTGCCGCTCCTGAGCATCAGCTCCCAGCGCCCGGGATGCCACTGAGCTGGCATGGGCAGGTCAAGACACCAGAGGAGAAGGTGTTGTCACCCTGCAGACAGACTGATGATGAGTGAGCAGCAGCCAGAAACACCGTGCTCAGGGAGGGCAGAGACTGAGAGAATGGCCCAGGGGCCCTGAGGTGTGAATACTGCCAGCGCCCTCCCACCCTAACCGCAGCCTTAGAAGCCGAGTCCCCTCTTCCCGTCCTCTTTCTGTCCTCCCTCCGCCCCACCTCTCAAGCCTGTCGGAGAAATGACGCTTGTGACTGAGTTCAACAAGTATCTCTCCTGCTCCACGGTGCTCCATACAGTGGGGTACCAAGGCAGGAGCCGGCAGGCTGGGGAGCCTGCACGCAGAAAAGAATCTGGCACCCGAGAGGTGCTAGGGAGAACGCGGGGTGCAGGTGATGGAGGTATCTACTGAGATTAGGAGAAAGGCAGAAAAACACCACTGTGTTCATTTTCATTTGGGGAAACAATCAGTTTACCTTGTTTAATGGCAGATGTCCTAAGGGGAAAATAGAGCTCTTAAACCCTGACACCAGGCAGGAGTCATGAATTGTGGGCATGGTTCTATTCCCACAGAGAAGATGCAGGTAGTGAGAAAGCAGGAACAAACATCGCAGTGAACGTTAGATTTAATTAAAGCTAGGGACCGGCAGGTGGCAAGGTGGTTAAGGACGCTGGCCCATATGGCAGACCATGGTTTGCGTCCCAGACTCGGTGGCTTGCTTTCTCACTCCCCCACCACACTATCTCTTTCTGGTCAAATTAAAATGAGTAAATAAAGTTAAATAAAAGATTTATTTTAAAAATTTAATTAAAGCTAAAAGACCATTTTGGAGAATGAGCTCCTTACAAAAAAAAAAAAAAAAAAAAAAAAGGGGTTTGTTTTTAAAAAAGGG